GAGTGTTGAATATACCATGGACTGCTAGGAGAACAAACAGGTTTGTCCTGGAGAGGGTGAAGCCAGAATGTTCCCTGGAGTCAAGGATCTGAAGCTTTGTCTGACATATTTTGGGCATGTTGCAAGGAGGAACTGGTCCTTGGAGAGGGACATCATGTTTGGCAGAGTGGAGGGGCAGCAAAGGAGAGGAAGACCTTTGATGAGATGGATCGATTCTGTGACTGGAGCGGTGGGAACAAGTGTGTTTGAGATGGCTAGGTTGGCACAGGATAGAACAGCATTTAGAGCTCTTGTACATAGGGTTGCTATGAGTCGCAAGCGACTCGATGGCACATAACAACAATGTTTAGGGTGAAACCAATAATTCTGAAAGTGAAAAGATGGATCTATATCTTTCATTCATTAAACAAAGATGTAATACTACTTTGGATACTTTTCTAAGTTAATAACTTATTATTTGAGCAGAGAAGATAGAATTCAAACAAAAAGGTTTATAAAACATTTTAATGTGGCAACCAACTGAGAAATTCAAGTGTTTATAAAAATATTTAACACAGCAAACCAAGATTGTAAGTAAAGAAATACCCATGCAAAAAGACTGACAAAAGAATGAACTTCAGTGAGTCTCTGCCTTGAAATAAGACAAATGAAAAGGCTGTGAGTAGCTGGTTATAGCAGCTCAGAAATTATACCGGTGCCAGATTATGTGGGGTCTTATAAAATTGAGTTGAAGATTTGTAGCTAATTTATATTTTATTGCATACAGATCATTCCAGAATTTGGTGCTGTGAAACAATGAGCATTTATTCTTTGAGTCTTTTGGGCAGTTCTGTACTTGCTAAGCGGCTCTTTGGTGGTTCATTCTTATGGCAAATAGCTTGCATAGTGGTTTTCATTGGGTGGAGGGTTCCCAAAAATTGGAAGAGAGGGAAATTTGACATGCACAGACACTTGTCATTCTCATGTTTTTTATTACATCATATTTGTTTTCCTACCAACACAGGTCAAGCTTAGAGTGGAGGAGTGTTTATACAGGGAGAAGTATTATAACATTGGAATTGATTAGTTTGTTGGATATACTATTTTTTATTATGGAATAGTTGACTGGAAAATTTCTCAGTCTTGGTTGGTTGTATTTGTCAAGAATTTAAAATCTATTATTTTTATTTTAAATGAAGGTTCAGCGAACTATTGCTAAACAGATTCAGATGGTTCGGCAAGTTGGTAAAGGTCGGTATGGAGAAGTATGGATGGGTAAATGGCGTGGTGAAAAGGTGGCAGTCAAAGTGTTTTTTACCACTGAAGAAGCTAGCTGGTTTCGAGAGACTGAAATCTACCAAACCGTACTTATGCGCCATGAGAACATCCTGGGTGAGTATGCATTTGACTGGGTTTTAAATCCACCAGTCACATAGTGTGGCAAGACTAGAAGGACGCCTGTAGAAATGTGCCAGTTAGGCTTTGGAAGGGTCTTTGAATTCACATTAAGTACATTTGCTAAGTGAGGCTCAGAAGAAAGTACACAACACAATTCCTAAATGCCATCCAGCTACTTATAACCCAGCTGAAGAAAAAACAGTTACAGCATTGAAAGAAATGCTACTCTTTTGAACTTACATAGTAACAAAAACAAAATGTTTTATTGGTACCTTAAGCATACTTTAGCTAGATAAACTTTTTGCTTTTTATATGCTCAATACCTCTTTCCTATAAGATACTACTTCATTGTATTTTTTTTTTTTTTTTTTTTTTTGCTTAACAGATATTTCCCCCACATTTATAAAGTAAAGAAATAATTTAGATATGACCTGACAGTAAGGTCCATGGCTCTCCTAATTTTTTTTGTTTAAGCCATTATTCCCCAGTCCTTTAATGAGTTGGGGGTGGGGAGCCGGCAGTAGTATTTAGTGGGTTCTCAGTGACCTTATTTTATCAGGGAAGGAGAAGAGGAGAAATGTGTGAGCAAAGAAAGCAGTACTGTGGCCCTCCCAGTGTACAAGCCAGACTGCACAGGCAGGTGCGACAAGGCAGTGACAGGCACATGGCACTTAGTGAGGAGTTAACTAGAGAGTAAATATTTTTATCTTTTACCTTGGAATTGCAAGCATATTCTCATTCTGTCTTTAGGCCTTAGCTGCTTAAAAAGAGTGAAGTAAAGATAACATCTCCCAAATTGTTACATGGAAGGTGATCTTCCACAGCCCCTGAATGGGTAGACTTAGCTGCCAGTCCTTATGGTCCACCCAGGGGTACCGCAAAAGAAAAGCCAGGCGGTTTCCTGACAAATATTAAACCTCTGTGGAACACAGTTCTCTCACTTACCTGGAGTCACCTTGAGTTGGAATCAACTCAGTGGCAAGTGCTAATGTGATCTTACATTTTTTTCCCCTTAAGTCATTTATTATTTATGTGATTATTATTAAGATGATTTTATGTGTAATGTGAAAGCATAGTTGTACTATAGAGTCAACTGTAATTCCTAGTAACCCTGTGAGCCCTATGACAGTGGAAACCGAACCCTCTCTGGCACTTTCCTTACCATTTCTGTCCTCCTCAAGCCCATTGTGCAGTCAGTGGGTCTGTCCATCTCCTTGAGGGTCTTCCTCTCATTCACAGACCCTTTGCTTTTCCCAGCATGATGTCTTTCTGTAGGTAAGGACTGGCCCCTCCTGACAGCATGCCTGAAGTATGTGAGATGAAGTTTCACCATATTTAACTCTAAGGAGCACCTACCTTGTTGTACTTCTTCTGTCTTCCTTATGCATTGTCCAGCTTTCACATACACATGAACAAATTAAAAATACCATGGCCTGCGTCAGGCACCTGACATCCTTGTTTTTAGAACTTTGAAGAACAGATTTGAGTTCTGTGTAAACAGAATACAGTTTTGAGGAACAAAGTCAGATTTTACCAGATTAACTAAGGTGGTTTTCAATATCCTCATTGAACAGTCATTATTGTTCCAAGTTACCTCTAATGATAATTAACCTTTTAAATGCATTCATTGGATAGGTTTTATAGCAGCGGACATTAAAGGAACAGGCTCCTGGACTCAGCTTTATTTGATCACTGATTACCATGAAAACGGATCTCTTTATGACTTCCTCAAGTGTGCAACACTGGACACAAGAGCTCTGCTCAAGCTGGCTTACTCAGCTGCCTGCGGCCTTTGCCATCTCCACACAGAGATTTACGGCACCCAAGGCAAGCCTGCAATAGCTCATCGAGACCTAAAAAGCAAAAACATCCTCATCAAGAAAAACGGAAGTTGTTGTATTGCTGACCTGGGCCTTGCTGTTAAATTCAACAGGTGAATAGCTCTTTGCTCTCCTGGTTTAAATTATTTTTAGTTTCCAAAAGATAATTTGCTCATTTATGTTTAGAATGATAGAATTCTAAAAGTTCATGTAAGTGTTCACATATATTTATATTAATATATTGTTACTGTATAACTAGATATTGGAATGATGGAGTCTTTTATATTTGGTTGTTTTTTTTCCTTCAGTATGGGGGGTTTTGTTTTTACAAAAATGACGTGTGTACATATTGCTAATTTTCCTGCTTTTCATTGTCTTAAACATCCTCCCATTTCTGTTTGTACACATCTGCTTTGTTCTTTTTAATAGATGCAGAGATGTTCATAATGGGGTTGTGGTGGTGGAGGAGGCTATTATATCATTGATTCAGAACTAACTCTTAGATGATTCTCCACTGAGTTTTCAGAGGCTGTAAATCTCAGGAGAGGAGATTGCCTGTCTTTCTCCCTTGACACAGCTGGTGGCTATTTTGGTTGGCAATGCAACACCTTACCAGTGAGCCATCAGAGCTCCCTTTATAAGGATGTACTCTAATTTATCCCAACTATTACTCACTTGGAACCTTAGTGGTAGGTTGAGTGTTGGGCTGCAAAGTTTGATACTGACAGTTTGGTAGTTTGAACTCACCAGCTACTTCCCAGGAGAAAGAAAGGCTGCCTCCTCCCTGAGGAGTTACAGCTTCAAACCCAGCAGAGGGTGACAGCGGGAATAGACTCAACAGTAGTAGGTTTGGTTTGGCTACTGCCTAGATGATGAACACAAAAGTTGTCTTTAGTTTAGCTGTCATTACAGAAATACTTTAATATTATTTTATTATACATTTATTTTTTATAAGTGTCACAAGTGCTTAAGGTGGATTCCAAGACAAGTTAATCAAAGGCTGTGTTCCTGTTAAGATCGTACATGGTACTTTGTCTTTTCTGAAAGTGTGCATCACTTACCCTGTCACAAATGGGCAAAGTATACCTTTCTTCATCTCACTTAATAGTGGTTTTAAACAATTACTGCTAGATGTATTTGGTCAGTTCCACTCAGATGGAGACCTAGTACATGAGTCCATTACAGCCACTGTGGAAGTTCATTCCATTGAGGGTTAGAATGATGTCATTTTACCAAACCATTGAAATCATTTTAATGTTGTTACAGTTCCAGAATGGACAGCCTTTTAGCATTTTAGAATTTATTTCAGGAAGACCATAAAATAAATATACCAGTCTGTAAGTTAAAGTTACCATGTTTAAAACTTGTTTTTATGTTTCTCCCAAATGTTCACGAGATACAGGCGTATGGGAGGTGTGTGGGGTGTGTATGGAAATATAATGTACTTCAGAGGATAGTGTCTAATCTGCTAGAAATGGAGACCTAAGCAACAAAGCATTCACATAGGGAATAAAAAAAGGTCCCCTTTGTCATGAAGGTTAAAATTACTACCTGAATTGCAATCCCAGAAGTGCACGGTTCAAATCCACCAGATACTGTGCTAAAGAAGGAGGAACAGTCGCCTCCTGTACCAGTCAGATCCAATTTGACGGTACACGCATTAAAAACAAAAAAAAAATTACTACTTGAAATGTCAAAAGTAAAGGATTATTGTCTTGGTTTTTATTTTCCTGTTTCCTTTCCTTGAGACTATCACTGTTTCTTATATTCATGCTATATTGGTTCTTGTATTTCTTATTTTATTTTCCTGAACTCATTTTTCTTTTTCCTGAAATAACACAAGTAGTAATCTTTTCTGAAATGGATCATATTCACTCTTACTTATTCTTTAACCACTTCCTTCCACCTTCCATTACTAATTTCACTGAATTTGTTCTTATTAAGATGACCACTGACTTCCCTTTATGTTTATACCTGTAGAGATTGTTTTTAGTTGTCAATTTACATAACTGCTTTGGCACTCAGCAGTGTTGGCTGTTTCTCTACTCTCACTTCTCTTTGCTTCTGGGACCTAACATTCTTGTTTTCTTTTACAGATTCCACTTGATCCTTCTCTCTCTCTTTGTAGGCTTACCATTTGACTGTCAAGTGTGGGAGTTCCACAAGATTCAAACCTTAGACCTTCTCTTGTCACTAATAATCCCTCCTTAGGTGGGCCTGTCTATGCCAGTAACATTAATTCCCCATCTATAGAAGTGACTCAAAAACAAGAAAAAGTGCTGGCCAAATGAAACTAAACATATACATTATTCACTGCCAGTAACAAAGCTCAGAATAGAATATGATGTTTAATACTTTGCACATCATTGTCTTTTCTGCTAAGTTGTAAAGTGTGAGGCACATTTATTTTTAGTTTTTGTTTTGTTTTTTAATCCCTAGAATCTATTCCAGGACTTGGCACATAGAAGAAACTAAGCAAATATTTATTGGTAATTTCCTGTAATTTTCACATTTTTCTTTTATAAAGATTCTGAACCTACACAAACCAAGAGAATGAATATGAACTTTTTAAAAATTTCTAATCTCGTATTCTTTCCTTGACACTACAAAAAATAGAATCAGCTCTAAAATTAAAATGTGGGAAATTCAATAAAGATACAACTATAGAGTGATTTTGATAGGAATTTTTGAGTGCCTGCTACGTGGAATTTTTCCAATTAAAATTCTATCCCTCTCTGCAATCTTTAAATCTTTTATCTTTATTTATCTTGCTTAATATGAATACTAAGCAGAATATCCACATTAAGCAGAATCTTACTGCAAACATAGTAAAGTGTTTGATGAATAGTACTGTTCAGACTCTAATGGAGTTATATTTAAAGGATCTGTTACTTTAAACTCTGAATTTTAAAACACCCCTGGCTCCTAGGGTTTCTAATAATGAACTGTGATGATCCATATAGAGGTAAACAAGTGCATCAAAAGAAATAGAAGTAATACCCAGCATCACTGTACCAAAATGAATTGACTCACAGTGAAAAATTTCAGGAAGTACCATGTGAATAAGAGCCAGTGATAGTGAAGGAAGAATTTGAAGTTACACTGAAGGCCTTGGCAAAAAATAAGGCTCCAGGAATCGATAAGGTTGACATTTTCACCTAACAGAAGTGTCCCTGTATGCGCTCACCAGTCTATGCCAGGAAATTTGCAGGAGGACCGCTGTCTGGTAGACTGATTGGAAGATGGTCTAACCTTGTGGATCCAACAATGTTGAAATTACTGAACAATATCATTAATATGACATGTAAGCAAAATACTGCTGAAGATCATTGAAAAACTGTTATAGTACATAGATAGGGAACTGCAAGAAATTCAAGCAGAATTCACAAGAGGCTGTGGCACCGGGGATATCATTGCTGATGTCATATGGTTGAAAGAGCATGCCAGAAGAATGTCTGTGCTTTATTGAGTATATAAAGGCGTTTGACTCTGTGTGTCATTATGGCTAGTATTATGAATGGAAATATCAGAACACTCAATTGTGCTCATGCAAAACCTAGACCAAGAAGCCAGGTTTGAGTGGTGCAAGGGAATCCTACATGGTTTAAAATTAAGAATGGTGTGTGTCCATATTATATCCTCACTCCATACCTACTTAATCTGTATGCTGAGAAAATTACTCAAGAAACTGAAGAAGAATGTGGAATCAGATTTTTCAGTAACCATTAGCAGCAAGCCTTGCTTGCTGAAAATGAGAATTACTTTAAGCACTTGTTGAAGAAGATATGGATTCCATCTCAACATCAAGAAGACAGAAATTCTTACCACTGAACCTATAGACAACGTGATAGATGGAGAAAAGATTGAAGTTGTCAATGATTTCATCTTATTTGGATCCACAGTTCAACACCCTTGGTAGCAGCAATCAGGAATTCACAACACATATTGCACTGGGAAAGTCTAAAGTCAGGGACCTCGCCAAATTTTTGAGGAGCAGTGTTACCAGTTTAAGGATGAATATGCTCCAGATTCAGGCCATAATCTTTTTAATCATTTGCTATGCATCTGAAAGCTGAACGATGAATAAGGATGACAGAAGAATTGATGCCTTTGAGCTGTGGTATTGGAAAAGAGTACTGAATATTTCTTGGATTGCCAAAAGAACAAACACATCTTAGAGAAAGTCCAAAATGCTCTTTGGAAGCAAAGATGATAAACCATTATCTCACATACTTCAGGCATGTTGCTAGGAGAGGCTGTTGCTTAGAAAGGAACATGATGCTTAGAAAGCTGAAGGGTCAACAAAAGAGAGAAGATCCTCAATTAGATGGACTATGGTGACAGCTGCAATGGGGTCTCCTGTGTCAGAAAGAGTGACGATGGTACAGGATAGGACAGTTAAAAATCTGTTGTTCATGGAGTTGCTATGGGTTGTACTTGATGGCACCTTACAACAGTATGACAAAATACACGATTAACTATTTTATCAGCATAGACTTTAACAAATCTGTTCTTTTTCACCTGTTTCAGTGATACAAATGAAGTTGATGTGCCCTTGAATACCAGAGTGGGTACCAAACGTTATATGGCTCCAGAAGTGTTAGATGAAAGCCTGAATAAAAACCATTTTCAGCCATATATAATGGCTGACATCTACAGCTTTGGCCTCATCATTTGGGAAATGGCTCGCCGTTGTGTCACAGGAGGTAGGAATTTGCATTGATGTGTTTCTGTGTTTGATTATATAGCCATGATTTTTAAAATTATAGCTCCAGTTATATAATAATACCTAGATGTTATGGGAATCTGGGGTCCCCAAGCCCACCCCTAGGTTCAGTGATTCTGTAGAACTCAAAGGACTTAGCACAGTTTTACTAAAAGCAAAGATTTAACACTGAAAGAATACAAAGCAAAATTGGCAGAGGGGACAGAGTTCATTAGATGAAAGAGAAAACCAGGCATAATCTTGTAGAAAGGATCTCTGGTGATGGATTTGTCAGGTGCATGAGTGCTAACCAAACGGTCACCAGTTCAAACCCACTAGGGGAGCTCTGGTGGCAGGGACCTTAGAGAGTTGTGTTGCTGACCCAAAGGCCACTCCTTGTAGTGGTTTGAATCCACCGGTGGCTCCACAGGAGTAAGATGGGCATTCCCCTCATGTACAGTTAGTTTGCAGAAGCCCAGCAGAGGGTCTGACAGGACAGCAGAAAGTGAGAGCCTCTCAGGGACAAGGAATGAGTCTTCTTCCATAAGATTGCAGTCTTGGGAGCCACTTCGTTCAGTAGGGTCACTGCGAGTCAGCTGGATGGCATTGGCTCCTTCCCTTTCTTCTTTATTTAAATGTTTCCAAAACTATTTTCCTAGTGGAGTCAAACAGGGCATGTTTAATTCCTTTAATACCAAGCTGTGATAATTTGGTAAATAGTGTCATCCCAAGACACTCACTGACACTCAGCCCCTGAGCTCTCTGTCAGGTGGTGGCCCTGCAGGCATCCTCTGCCTGACATGCACCAAAACGTCCAGACTTTGAAAAGGAAAACAAGTGTTCAGGACAAACTACATTGTTTATACAGTTTCGAAACCGGAACAGAGGGCGTGTCTCTCATACTTGGGACATGTTATCAGGAGGGGCCAGTCCTTGGAAGAAGACATCATGCTGGGAAAGGTGGAGGGTCAGAGTAAGAGAGGAAGTTTTTCAACAAGAGGAGCTGACCCAGCTACTGTAACAGTGGGCATATGGTGAGGGTGTTGTAGGATATGGCAAGGTTCAGATCTGTCATTCAGAGAGACACTGTGAATAGCAGTCACCTTGACTGCACCTAATAACTCCTACCATTTCGAGAATGTGTACATTGCTTTGAGGAACAGCTTACCAACCAGGTGTCCAGATTTTAGCCCTTAGTCGGCCTTGTAAGCAGCCATTCTGAGGAACTGCTGTCTTAACTCTTTTCTATTACACCATGTTAAGTTTTTCAAAACACAAACAAAACTACATACAGACTTACTAGTAGAGTCATGCAAGAAAATAACTAAAAATTTAAGAAAAATGAGCAAGTAACTTTTTTCTGAGAGGTATTGATAATAAACCCTTTGTGGACACAGTGTATCACAACTGGAAGGAAGACCTTTATGGAGGTTGTCTTTTGTTGTTATGTGCCATCAAGTCACTTGCGACTCATAGCGACCCTATATATGAGAACTCTAAACGCCGCTCTATCCTGTGCCAACCTCGCTGTCTCAAACACTCATTCCCATACCCCCAGTCACAGAATCGATCCATCTCATCGATGGTCTTCCCCTCCTGCGCCGTCCCTCCACTCTCCCAAACATGATGTCCCTCTTCAAGGACCAGACCTTCTTTGCAACATTCCCAAAATATGTCAGACAAAATGTTAGAATCCTTGACTCCAAGGAGCATTCTGGCCTTACCCTCTCCAGGACAAACCTGTTTGTTTTCCTAGCTGTCCATGATATATTCAACACTCTTCTACAGCACCACAGCTCAAAGGCATCAATTCTCTTTCTGTCATCCCTAGTCACAGCCCAACTCTCTGATGCATAGCACGTAATTGCGGAAACTATAGCCTGCATCAGGTGCACCTTCGTCTCCAGCCTGACGTCGTTGCTCTTCAATACTTTTAAGAGGACCCTCACAGCTGACCTTCCCAATGCAATTCGTCTCTTGATTTCCTGGCTGCTGTTACCAAGAGTCTTGACTGTGGAACCAAGTAAAACTTAACTCTTATGGAGGTTGTTGTTGTTGTTGTTAAGTGCCATCGAGTCGCAGGCGACTCATAGCGACCCTATGGAGGAGAGTCCTTGACGCTTGGGTGCCTTTCATCCTCTCTCCAGGTTCATAGGGTTTCCTTCCGGAGGCAAGCTATTATGGAAGTGGATGCCGTAGAGAAAATAATTAAGAAGGGAACATGCAGTTCCTAGTGAAAGTGCATTATCCACTCTAGAATTGTATTTATATATGAATCTATTTCCATTTTATAGTTTAGTGAGCTACTGAATGGATAAACTTTTGTGCTTAGGATGTATTTTCATTCTTACAGGCATTGTGGAGGAGTACCAGTTGCCATATTACAACATGGTGCCCAGTGATCCTTCATACGAAGATATGCGGGAGGTTGTGTGCGTCAAACGATTGCGTCCAATTGTTTCTAATCGATGGAACAGTGATGAGGTAGGTGTACCTCATCCCTTGAAACAGTGATTGGAGTGTCCTGCCAGGTGAGGATAGTACCTTCTCACCACTTTTCTCTTCACCTTTCAGTGCCTGCGAGCCGTTTTGAAGCTGATGTCGGAATGCTGGGCCCATAATCCAGCTTCTAGACTTACAGCGTTGAGAATCAAGAAAACACTTGCCAAGATGGTTGAATCCCAAGATGTAAAAATCTGAGTTACATGGTCAAGCAGAGAAGTTATAGACTGCAGCTGTTTCCCCAAGGAAAGAGAGCACAGGATGGCAGCTTGGTTCTCGGACTTTCCTCGCTCTACCTTCATGGGCTGCTAATCTTAACCCTTCAGTACTCTTTAGAATACACCCTGGGGACTTCTGAACACTTCAGTCTTTATATATGGACAGCTTTATTTTAAATGTGGTTTTTGATGCCTTTTCTTTTTAATGGTTTTTTTATGAACTGCATCAAAACTTCAATCCTTTTAAGTCTCCAGTCCAAGTCTGGACACGAAATTGCCTCCTCCTGAAATGGTGCTTTCTGTGAAAGCCTTAAAAAATTAAGAAAAGAAAAGAATTTATCAGACGGAGAAATAAGAACTTCATGCTTCTACTTGAGAAAATGTAATCTGTTTGTATTTTACCTTTGTGAAACAATCTGTAGAGTATGATTTGTTTGGAATACCCTTGGTTGATTGTGGTTGTCTGCCTTGATGATGAGGTGTGTGTGGCCGAACATGTGCACCAGGATTGTGAATGCACAGGAAGGAAGACGCTGGTCGGTGGTGGGTTTTGGCTTTACAGATCTGACCAGCAACATAAAAATCATTTAACTTGCAAACTGCCAAAAAAAATTTAAAATGTCTGTAAATTTGGGCTTTGTTTTCTCACCACCGTCTTTTGGATTTTGGAGTCAAAGGAGGTTTTATCTCATGAAATGTATCCTGTCCAAATTGGAGTTTCCAATGCTATGAACCCTCTAAAGAAAACACTTCTTTTTGAAGTGAATTACTGCATTTGATAGTAATGTAAGTGCCTGAATCATATTCTGTATTCCTTCTCCTCAGTAACTTTGAAAGGGAAGTTTATTTATATTTGGTGTGTTACATGCTTTGTTTGCAAACTCCGTTACAACCATATCCATGTTATAGAAACTAACTTACATACACCTCACATCCTGTCCTTAACCAAAAAAAAGAAAAATCATCCAAAAAGTTATAAAGTAGTAGAATAATGTGTGAATTTTCAGAATTAATGTATTCTGTGTAGTATACAAAATCCAAAACTTTTTATTCAGACCTATTTGACATAGAAATCTTTCACTTAAATAATATTTCCATTTTCCTTTAAGACACAAATTATAAATTTATATAAATTTAACAGTTGTTTTAAGTAAGTTTTAAACATCTAAATTATTTTTCATCTTTTGACAAAAATTATAATTTTTGTCCCCTAACTTGGAAAGAAAATGAAGAGTCAGAAAAAAAACAACCCACACACAAAACATCAGAGTTCCGTATATATTCCTTTATATATATATATATACACTTTATAGATGCTATCCAATAAAATGCTACATATTTTATAGATGTGTTGCTATCCTAAGGATTTTTTTTTCCCCTTTATCTCTTCTGTTCTGAAAAAACATGGGTACATCCAGTCAGATTCTTTTCTAGTAAAATAAATACAATTTTATCACTCGTAAAGCTTTACATTAGAGGGGAGGGAAGTCAGAATAGGCTCACCCATTATACGTCCCCCCTAAATAGTATATATAACTTTCTAACAGAGTAAAACTCATTTTTCTACACATCAAATTTCACCAACTAGAAACTTATTTCCAAAGACTAAGCCATTTGGACTATGTTTATGTTACATTTAACTGAAATCTCAATTACTTACAAGTAAATTTACGTGTTAATACCCAATAACGTGTACATTTTAAAATATTTTCCCCATTATCTATACGGAGAGATACAGATATTAAATACCTACAATGCCTTGTGAGTTGAGAGCACTTATGTGCCCTGATTTACTTAGCAAATGTTACATTAACCTTGGCTTCTTTTTTCTTTTGTAAACCTTGAAAATTTTTATCTTAACAAAATATGTAAAGAAAGCCAAGCTGCTCATAGAAATATTAAAATGATAGGTAGAAAGAGAAGGTAAGAGTTTGGACATAACAAGACCACTATAAAATTTCTTTTTTATTGGTTGAATAAAAGTGATTACTCTTAAATTCTAGTAGAATATTACTAGCATAATCCATTCTTTAAAACAAATCTTGCCATGTTTGGAATCCTGGAGTCTGTTAGGGTCATATGAGTCTTATTTTTTGTCTTCCTTTCTGTTAACATGTTAAGTCCATTCAGTATGTGAAATATCTAAAGCATATGACAGACTGGTAAGTATCATAAAGCATCACAACCCTAAACACCAGACTCGCTGCTTTCAAGTCAGTGCTGAGTCAGGGACCTCTGCCTGGTTCTGGAGGCTGTAAGGCTGTTAAGGGAAGAAAAGACTGCCCATCTCCCTCCTGCAGGTCAGCTGGTGGACTTGACCTACCTGCCCTTTGTTCAGTAGATCCATTCATGACAGCCCCACCAGGGCTCCTTTGTAAAATGCCTGAAAATTGTTTACCCCACTTCACAGTTCAGCACTTTAAAAAATAAGAAAGTCTGCCAAGTATCTCTTCAAATAATAAAAACAAAATACCAGAAGTGCTTGAATATATATATATTTATGTTTATAAACAGCAAGAATTAAACCTTAAAATCCCTCTTATAAATCTTTAGAACTAAAGACACACTAGAATTGTCACCTTAAATACATTTAAGCTTCTATAACTTCTGAAGTGCACATTTTGCATCTTACTTCTCTGGAAATATTTTCACAGAGATCTTTTAATCGACATTTGATGGTACCTTTTAAAAATCCAGAAGTTCTTTTAAGCCTTGAAAGGTGATTTTTTTAATATATCATGATTTGAGTGAAAGTTTACCAAATACTCAAAGTGAACTATATCTTTAAAAATTGTTTTCTTTAGAGTGTACCAGGTTTTTCATTTCTTCATTCTGACAGATGTGTATAGGAGCTTTGTTTAACTCACCTACAGAGAGACAGGCGGTTTCCTGTCTACCATTTACCTCAGAACCCGGGGCAGGGTGGCTGTGAGTAGGAACTGGCTTGATGCCAGTGAATTTGAGTTTTTTTAACAAATATAAAATACTTTTTAAAAGTTTATTTTGTTTCTATGTAGAACAAAAATGCAATTTAAACTTTAAAGACTCCTATTTCTCTAAAATAGTGAGCACTGGTGTCCTAGTGGCAAGATGTGCCACAATCTTGAAGCCATGCGATTCAAATCCACCAGCTGCTCTGTGGGAGAAGGATGGGCAGTCTCCTCCCGTGCAATTAACTGCTTCTGAAAACCCGCCAGAGGGTCAGCTTTGGGTTGGTTCTGATTGACTCCATGGTACACAACAACAACATCTCTAAAATAGGCAAATATAAACATTAAAGCTGAATTTATTCAGTTACTTGAAAGAGTCACGTTGCAAACTAGAGAGAAAATGTTCATAAAAACAAATCTAGGTAAGGGTAACATGTGATCTTCTAAAGAAAATAGGACAAATACTGCTTTTGCAAGATCTTAAATGCATTTTCATCTTAGTTTGTGCTGTGTAATATGCTTTAAATAGAATTATTTAAACTCTTTTAGTGACTAGTCCTGGCCCACCTAGGAAGTAAAATGTAAGTAAATACTATATAAAATGGAAATGTCATTATAACTTAATTAGGACGCACATAGATATTGAAAGAAAAATGAAAATAAGCAGTTTTTTTACGTAGTTACGGAATACCCAACATTTAGATTGATCTTTGATAAAGACCAAGTATATTTTGTACAGCATATGATTTAAAAGGTGCCTTATTAAGTTTACCATTAATTGTTTTGTTTTGTTTTATATACAGATTATATTCAATGTATCATTTCTAAGTAAATAACCTTATTTTAGTGTACCTTAGTAATGTGTTTTGTGATTCTGTACTGAGACAGTATTGTGTATCAGAAGTCACAATATCTGATGAGATGGTATAATAGGTTAGGATAAATATGTGTGTTCCTGTGATGTATACTTCAGGAATCTATGGTAGCCCAGGGCAGGTAAGTAACATGCCCTCTCTTTTATGGAAATAGAGAAGTTACAGACCTGTTATCCTGAGGATTCATTCTTGTTTAAAACACAACAGAACTCTTCCCTGATCTTAAAAGATACATACTCATTGGCAAAATTTTGGAAATTAAGGAAAATGAACAAATAAAAATCACTCAATTCCATCACTTAGGCACTAAAACTATCTACATTTGATTCTCTCTTTGTCCTCCTTTGGTATTCATTTTCTCATAGAATGTCATTAAATACCCATTAAAAACATAACTTTAAAAAAATTGGGTTGACTATCATTCCACCAAGTATATAAAATTCTCTGTTGAACTACTAGGTTGTTTCCATTGTTTTGGAAAGTATAGCCAGTATGTTGAGCATTCTACCCAAAACGAATTTTTTAAGATAGCATTCCTAGAAATAGAGCCAATGAACTAAAACCACAGACTTTTTTTTTAAAGAAATTGTATTTTTAATTTGTTTAACAGGAGTGCAAAATATAAGATTCTAAAAACTGAGGATGAAGACCTGAAGCATTTTCTGCAGAAGGTCAAGGACTATACTCTTCAGTATGGATTGAAGCTCAGCATCAAGGAGAGACAAAGATTCTCACCTCTGGACTGACTGACAGCTTCATTATGGATGGAAAAGACATTGAATTGAGGTGGTTAACAATTTGAGCTTCCTTGGTTCCACAATCAACACTCTTGGCACCAGTAGTCAGGAATCAACAGACAAATTGCACTGGGGGAGTCTGCTGTCAGGGACTTCTCTAAAGTGCTAAAGAGTAGTGATGTCAGTCTGGAGACTAAGGTGTGTCTGATCAGGCCGTTGGTCATCGTGATTATTTGGTATGCATTAGAGAGCTAGACTACAACCAAGGATGACAGAAGAATGGATGCCTTTGAGTCCATGCTGGAGAAGGAAGTATTAAACGTACCATGGGCTGCCAAGAGAACAAATAAGTCTGTATTAGGGTGAAACCAAGTTTCTCCATGGAGGCATGGATTTTGAAGCTCATAGAGCAAGGTTCAGAGCTGAATCACGGGCAAC